GCCTGCCCCTGCCTCTCCTCCATGGTTAGGTCCAGCACTTTCTCTAAACCATTCCCACAAGGGCAGACAGCCCTGCACACGCCATGCACCATTCATTCAGCACCAGTAGCTGGCACAGGTCAGGGGCACCACTCTCACAACCACCCCAGGCCAGTCAGGGTAGCACCTGTTAGGACAACGATGCAGGGGCGGGATTTAGGGACATGGCGAGGGACAAGAGGACAACGGAGTTATTCTAATTTGCTGCAGTATAATTTGAGGGCTGCAATGATACGGGCTATCACATCGCGCAAAAGACGTGACTTAGCACTTAGCACATGCTGAGTTTCTTTGCTCTGCTGGTGATTTCTCCTGTGCTGATCATCAGAGTTGAGGGTGCCGCTTTTCTCCTATACCAAGTACAGGTTAAGTCTCATCCCGGTGTCTGCCTGACTCACTCACACATCCCCCCTTCCACAAGTGACAAAGCAGAAGTTCCAGGCCTGTGCCCAACTTCCCAGGTGCCCCCTTCTCACACCAGCCGCAGAGCAAGGAGGGAAGAGTGGGAGAGAGAAAGCCAGACAGGGAAGCCGAGGCTCCGTGTAGCTCGGGGGCTGGCTGTGAGCTCAAGGCACACTCTGGCAGGGCCAGGCCTGGCATGCCCACTGGCATTTCAGGGGGCCTGGCTGTACCCCTGTATCTGTTCAGAGCTGCAGTGTGCTCTCAGAACTTCAGGCTCTTTGAGATGAATGTGAATGGGGCAGGACACAGGCTAAATGATCCCAGCCTTTGAAAAAAAAAAAAAAAAGCTTAAGTGTGGCTGCTAAGAACCTTCTGGCCTGAAATGGCAGCAGGTGTCAGGACGAAGGAATCCTGTTTCGAGGCAGCCATCTACTGCTGGGCCATCAGCACAGCCAGGCAGAGCTCACCACGTCCAAATCCAGTACTAAAGGAGCACCAACCACCACCGGGTGGATGGAGGGGTAAATGACCACCAAGGCCGTCCTACGGCCCTGCCTGTGTTCACCGTGATGGTGCCTCCAGTTCAGTGTGGGCTTCTGCGCCTGGCAAGGTGAAGAACCATTTTGAAGTTTGTAGTTAACAGTGATGATAGAAGACAGGCCACAGGGCAGCATATGATTCATTGGTTTTTTAGAAAGCTCAGGAAAAAAACAAGTTATGCCAGGAGGGATTCCTAGGGCAGGGGGGTGGCAGCCCTGCAGGACAGGAGCAGAGCTGGGCACTGCAGAGGAGGGGGCCTGGGGCTGGTAGGGAGGGGAAGCCTCCGAGAGGGCTGCAGCACATCACAGGCCAGCCAAGGGCTCAGGGTCCAGCTGGGCTGGGGCCAAGGGGAGCCCTGCAGGCAGTGAGGCCCCTGAACTGCAGAGGGAGGGAAAGAAAGTGGGGGGACAGCTTTGCCCCAGCACGAGCAACCTGACAGCACCTCGGCCTCCTGCCTCCACCTAACCCAGCGGAAGGTGCAGCCGCCTGCTGTCTGCGGGAGCACCTCACCCTCACCCACCGAAGCCCCAAGAGGCCACCTCTGACACCTGCCCCCAAAGGCCCCTGCACAGGCCGCAGCCATCCCTCCCCCATCATGGCACGCAGAGATCTCTACTGTGATCATATCCACAAATGATTGCACTCCCCAGCAGACCCTAAGTCCCATGAGGGCAGGGGTATACTGGAGGATCTGATTAGGTAAACAGGTGACAGAAGGAGCAGGGGAGAGGGGTCTGAGTGAACCATCGAGCCAACAACCAACAGGCAGCTGGCGGCAGTGTCACAGTGTCACACAACTCCAGGGTGCTGCTTACAGCGTGCTTAGTGCAGACAGCCCAAGTGCCAAGTGCAGGGAGGGAAGCTGGCCTGCTGGCCCCTGCTGGGAAGGCCGGCAGCTCACCTACATCCTGCTCCTGCCGGTAGAATCTCAGAAGATGGGAGACGCACCCCTGACCCTCCCCGCCCACCACACACAGATGGGACTGAGGAATTCCCAGTAGGAGTCGGGGCTGGGGGGGAGCCACATGTCCTGCAGGCCCACCTGTCTTCTCTGGCCACCATCGAGTTCCCCATGGGACTGCCATGCACCGGACCCCTGCGTCCCCCACCACAGCCCTCAGCACAGGGCAGATCCAGGAGGCCCACGGAGCCGCTCATCCCCAGCCCCTCTCCACAACCCCACCCCGTGCCAGGCCACACCCGCAGGCCAGGGACCTGCAGGCACTGTGCCGCTGGGAGGGGGACTCTCTCACAGGCTGCAGGTGCTGTCTCCAGAGCGGCTCTCCAGGCCTGCCCTTCAACCAATTCCCTGGAACCTCAGAGGGGATGGGGCCCAGGGGTCTTCTTCCTCATCCTGCTCCGGGCACAGCACCCTCTCTGGGTTCCAGCTGCCCTGGCTCCCTGACCAGCACTATGGCAGGCTCTGGAAACAAGAGGAGGCCATATCCAACTAGCCCCTTTCTCTGTCCCAACCCCTCCACCAGCCCACACTGCTCTAGAAGGTTCCACAGAACTCAGCTCATTCAATTCTCCCCTGTGCAGAAGGTGAGAGGCCTCGGGCTCCCACAGGGAGGAAGCGCTAGAGGGGGTAAGGGTCAGATCTGGGGAGGCTGCAGTGGGCTGGTGGGCACAAAGCTGTCTGCAGGCCAAAGACACAAGTCTTTCCAACCTACCAGGCTCGGGATGCACATGTCCCCTACCATACTCGGGGGTCCCCAAAGCCCTGGGAGCTTCAAGAAAACAACCCAATAAAAGGAAGCCATTCAGGACTGGAGGCTAGAGGACAGGGCAGCCGGGAGCTGGTCTCACATGTGGCAGTGCCTCCCTAATGACAACGTTCCAAGAGCCCACAAACCAGCTAGCCCCCGGGTAACTGGCCCAGCATTCCCACAAGGTCACCCAACCTAGCCACAAGCCCAGCCAGGGAGCAGCAGCCCTCGTCCCGTCTCGGGAAGCTCCCTGATTCTTGGCTTCTCCAGTTCAAGGTCATTTTATTTCCCAATGTCATGCCAGTGAAAAACAACGGACCGGGAACAGGAGCTCTGGGTGTCCAGAGCAGAGAAGTTAACCAGTCACAGTGGGGCTCTGGACAAGTTCTGCCCCTTGGTGGGGCTCCAGCTTCCCATGTGCACCTGTCCGGGAGGTGTTAGGATTGTGCCCTAGGCCTCAGCTCCCATTTCTGTGACTTTCGGTGCGAAGGGGCTTTGTAGGGCGCAGCAGGGCTTCTCAGCCATCAGGGATTCTGAGGGAGCCCAGACTTTCCACTGAAACTGGCCAGGGACATTTTGCTCATCAAACTCCAGGTCCACTATTGCACAGGGCTCAGGCCTGGATCAACAAATGTTTACTGAGAACCCACCAAGATGCAGACACTTTCAGGAGGCACTGGGGACCCACAAAGGAGCAAGATAACGGTGTCCAAGCAACCATTCTGCAGAGACACAAACTGAGTCTCAGACAGATTTGACATCTTGCTAAGGCAGCAGGAAGGCTGGGCATTCCACTCCCAGGACGCCTGATGCCTGCAGGTTCTCTGCTAGAGTTCCAGGGCCAGTGAGAAGAGCTCTGGGGTGCGGAGACGGCCAGCATCCCTCCTAGACACAGAGGAAGCTGTGAACCTCGGATTTATCAAAAACAGGGTATCAGAGGCCAGGACATAGCACTGGCTGGCTGGGCTGAGCTTGGTCCAAAATGCCCCCATCTGACCTTGCCAGGGCCTGTGACCCCCTCTGCCACCCGCTTCTGAACCCTCCATGCTGGGCAATGCGCACCACAGACTGGAGGCAGTCACGTGACCTCCACAACCCGCAAGCACACACCACAGCAGCACTGGTCCTGAACGCACCAGGCGCTCCCACAGTTGCCTTTCTTGGGGTCCCTGTACAGGCAAGGCTCCCAACCAGATGAACCGGCCTGGTCTGCAGACCTGGAGTCGGGTCCTGCCTCCCAGGACAGAGTTACTCAGGGCCCAGCCTGTCTCCCTATGAGAGGCCACTGCAAGGGTGCGCTCTGAGAGCCACTCCTTCCTACAGGTGTCACAGCGGTCCTCGCTCTTCCATCTGGGCTTCCAACCTGGGTCTCAGGATTGCTTTCCCCCAGGGGCTGCTCGTCCCTCCCTCCCTCCCCACCCCCCAGCCTTCGGCCACGGTGACCTCCCCTCCCCCTAGAAGGGCGGGTGATCCGGGGAGGTGGGGGTGGGAGGGCGCTGGGCCGCAGGCAGGGCGTGTCGCCTGGGCCTTTCTCTGTCCAGCGCCGGCTGCACAGCCTCCTGGTATGAGGTGGCTCCTGTACTATTCCCCCAGATCGCCTCGCTGTCATCACCCAGACTTCTGAGCCCCTAGGCGGCTAACAGGCACCAGCGAAGGGCAGCGGGTCTAGAACCTTCTGCCCAATCGGATAAGCCGGAGAAGGTAGGTGCCTTGTCTGCCCCGCGCCTGCCCCCTCGGCCTGCACGGCTCTTGCCAGCAGAGGCAGGTGTCGGACCATCCCCCAGCGGCCGAGGGCTCCGCGCTCCGACGTGCCTTCTCGCACGGTTCTGGGCAGGGTCCGCAGGGAACCGCTCCGGCGCCGCGAGTCTAGGGGGCGGCCAGACTCCCGCCCCGCCCCGTTCTCCCAAGAGGGGCGCCCTCCCCCACCCCCACCCCCGCCGGCACCCGCCACCTGCGCTGTCGCCCGCAGCCGGTGCCGCAGTGCGAGCGAGCGAGCAAACCCGGCGCCTTCACGCCTGGGTCCGCGCCGCCAAACGAGCCGCCGCCCTCCGGCTTCCCCGCCGCGCCTCACCTGCACCTGCACCCCAACCCCCCACCCGGATCCCACCCTCACCGCCACCCTTGGCCCGGGCGCCTCCTCGGTCCTTACCTTGGCCCCTCCCAGCCCGGCCCCGCCCGAGCCAGCCCCGACCTAGACATCCCCATCCTCGCGTCCTCCCGGGCTAGGAAGAAGGGGGTCCCCCCGGGGCGGGCGAATGCGCGGCGGGGGTCGACCTGGCGCCGAGGTACGGCGCTGCGCCCGGTACTCACCGCTCTGCTCCCCCAGGAACACCAACTTGAATTTTCTCAGTGGGTTTCCAAAATCTCCCCCTGCGGACATGGTGCTGGCAGCCGGGGCCGGGAAAGGAGGAGGAGGAGGAGGATGCCGCGAAGCAGCAGGGAGGGGAGAGGAGGGCGAGGGGAGGCGGCCGGCGGTGCGGGAGCCGGAGGGGGAAGGGCTGGCTGCGCGCGTCCTGACTCCCCAGCTGCGTCCCGGCCCCGGCCTGCGGCTGCGTGTCCAGCGGCGGCGGCGAGGGCGGAGGCGAGGGCGGAGGCGGAGGAGGAGGAGGAGGCAGCGGGCTGGGGCAGGGCTGCCGCGGGCGGCGCCGGCTGCGGTGCGAGGGGCGCACTGTGGACTGCCGAGGCGCGGCGCGGGCGACGAGGGGCGCAAGGACCGCGCGCAGGGCGGAGGAGCGCTCTCCCGAGCCGCGCCAGCCGGCCCCCTCCCGCCTGCGCCGGCGCCTGCGCTCTGCGCGCTCCCCAGCCTCTGATGTCATGCGGGGCCCGCGGCGCTGCGGGGCTGGGGGTGTCCGCCCGCCCACCCGGGGCCCGCAGGCGGGCGGAAGAGAACGCGGTGAGGCCGAATGGCCCCGGGATCCGACCAACTCTGGCTGCCTCCCTGCGTCTGTCTCCACCCCCACCCCCACTCCACCCGTCCTTTGATTCCACGAGAAATGACACGAAATTGTCAGGGGACATTTGTTTCTGGTCTTTTAAGCCTAGGAACCAGTGCCTTCAGCTGCCTCGCGAGACATCGGTGCACGGCGTAGACGGCGCGGGGGCTGCAGGGACCGGGGGTGGCGGGGAGCCGGGGTGTGGTGAGACACCTGGTGCAGCCCGCCCTCGCGTCTCCAGGCCCAACTCTGGGTCTGGCGACCTCGGCGGGGTCTGTAGGTGTCCCCCCGCAGACCTGGCCAGGGAGCGAGGAGGCACCAGTACAGGGCGCGCCTACCTGAAACCAACCGCTCCTAGGAGCATTTTACCGCCTGACCTGCCCACCTCCGGGAGAGGAGGGGCCGGGACGCCAGCAAGGCCAGCGCTGCTGCGTCCTTTGCACCTGCAGTGCGGGGGGGGGGGGGGGGGGGTGCGCTGACAGTGCCACTCCTCGCCCTAGCAGCTCTGTGCGTGTGTGGACGACGTCGGGCTCCCAGGGGACACGCGGGCAACCCCACGGTAGCCCTCGTGCTTGCCTTGTGCACGGAGGCACATGCAGCAAGGTGTGAGTGGGTGAGGGCCGAGTCGGCACCAGCCGTGGCATTCTGGCTTAACGGGGTTTACAGGGCCGCCTCCTCCTGCCTTGCCACCCCCGGTTCTCCTCATTTATGGCTGTTCAGTAAATATTTACTTGGGATTGTACCGCACTGCGTGTTGCATGCCTAGAGCCGCGTGTACTCCAACGTAGAGGGGTGAGACAACCCTCACTCCAGATTTTGAGGGGACACTTGTTTCAGCTCCCCTACCCCTTTATAATTTTTACTTTATTTATTTGAGCCTGAGATTGAGCTTCCATCCACTAGTTCAAAGCCAAAGCCAGGAACTGGCAACTCAATTCATGTCTCCCACAGGGATGGCAGGAATGCAAGCCCTTAGGCCCTGTCACCACTGCCTCCTAGGGTCTCTATTAGCAGGAAGCTGGAATCAGGAGCCCAAGCCCATTACCAGGTTATCCTAACCAGCATCTTAACTGCTAGTCCAAAAGTTCGCCTCTGTTGCCTCCTTTTGAAGGCCTGGGCTTGCTCAAGCTCCCGCCCAGCTGTGCACACCACGACTGTCTCCCTGCTTGCTAGAACCTGGCAGAAGCAGCAGTGAGGCTCTGACACTGGATTCTGAGGCCCCAGCTGAGAGCTCAGGACATCCTTGTTGAATGTCTGCACCAGTGTCCTACTCTCACAGCCACCTTTGGCAAGAAGCCCAAGGGCTATAGGCTATGAGTCCAGGACACCTGTCTCACTGCACCTGGTGTCAGGCCCAGGGCAACCTTCCCCACCCCACCGCACTTATGCTCAGGAGAACATGTCCAGGGTGGTGCTGGGGGAAGAGGCTCTAGGAGAGGATTCTCTCAAGTCTTAGCCCTTCCTGCCCTCCGCGGCACCCTACCAGGGCAACACTCCTCCAACCTGTACCCTCTCCTGTACCTGGAGCAGCCTTCTCGCCCCCTCGCACACGTTCCCGAGGTCCTGTGACAGTCTTTCAGGTAAACCCAAATACCTCCTGCGCCTTCTCTGGTTTGGCAGGAAGGGAGGGAGGGATGGGGACACGGGCCCCTCTGGTATCTCCAAGTAAGCCCCATGTGCTAACCAGATCTAGCTGGGCTGACTGTGGGCCCGGAGGTCTTGCAGGGCATCCTGCTATGGACAGTCTTCCAATTCAGATGATAAGAACACAACTCCAGGGGCCAGCACTGTAGTGCAGTAGGTTAATCCTCTGCCTGTGGCACCAGCATCTCATATGGGCACTGGTTTGAGTCCCAGCTGCTCCTTTTCCAATCCAGCTCTCTGCTATGGCCTGGGAAAGCAGTAGAAGAAAGCAGTAGAAGATGGCCCAAGTGCTTGGGTCCCTGCACCCACGTGGGAGACCCAGAGGAAACTCCTGGCTCCTGGCTTCAGATTGGTGCAGCCATTTGGAGAGTGAACCAGCAGATGGAAGATCTCTCTCTGTGTCTCTCACTCTCTCTGTCTGTAGCTCTACCTCTCAAATAAATAAATAAAAATCTTAAAAAAACAACAACTCCAACTGCGGGATCTGGCTCCTGTGGCTGGATGGACAGCCGTCCTGGCGCTGTAGAGATCAGAGCTGCCGGGACACCAGGTGTGCCGCACTGCCAGTCTCCTTCTCCACCTGTTGTCACGTTATCTCCCCTTGTTTTGGGTCTTGTCCTCCAGCTGCCCTAGAGCAAGGCAGCCTTTCTCCAGGTGACAGAAGATGTGACCACTCTGAACCTCTGTTCAGCAACCCATTAGAGTCAGGTTCTTTTACATAGTACCTGTGTTGTGGGGAGCAGCTGAGACTAGACTAAGTTACTGGAATTAAGACTTATTCTATGCATCTGCTCTCCCACAATATGGCGCTGAGAGAGAGAGACCAAACAACTTCTACACAGCTGCCTCATCAGTTTGATAAGCTGCAGGAGCTGATCCTGCTCCTGATTGGAGGAGAGCAGCATGCTCGGCGTGTGGGTAGCAGAGTTGGGATTGGTGGAAGAGGACTATAAAGGAAGAGAGAGACAACATGCACGAGGAACATCTGAAGGAACACCTGAGGAACATCTGAGCAGCCCCCAAGAGAGCTGGCCGGCGGTGTGCCGCTCCTCCGCGGAAGCGGGGAAAGCGGCGGGGGTGCCGCCCCCTCCACGGAGGTGGAGGGGCCGGCAGCTAACCTGGGACGGCGTCGTTCCTCCAACAAGTGAGGGAACAGCAGCAAACCCGGGAAGGACCGGCAGCAAACCCAGGAAGGGCCGGGCAAGAGAACAGCACAGGGTCTAGTGTCGTTCCGACACTGTGTGTCCATTGTTTCTCTATAAAGCCTCCTGTTAATTAAGTATATGCTATGTATGCATAACTATAAAGAGAACTCTTATCTGCATCCATGCCCACTCATCCCCCCAGCAGCTGGAGAAATCAAATGTTACAATGTTACAGAAGCCCAAGATTTTTTCTTCAAGTCCCTCTCCGACTCAGAAGTCCAGGATGCTGATTTTCTTTGTGTTTTATCCCATTTGGATGTGTCCTTCGACAACTCTTTGTTTTGCATCTTGTTTTATGAAAGGTATCAGGTGTGCTATGACTTGCACTTTTTGTGACATGATGTTCCTGGGAGTGGTCTGTTGATAGACATAGCTGCAGATCTTTCATTTCCACTGCTGCTTAGTAGCCCACTGTATGCCCCACTTTTTAAGTCTTTTTCAGTAAAATGTGTCCAGTTTTTAAATGTGAAGTAATTTTTCGACTCACAGAGAGGTTGCAAAAAATAGTACAGGAAGTTTCTGTGTATCCTCACCCAGCTTCCCCACTCTAACCATCTTACATAACTGTGGCACATTAGCAAAGCCAGGAAGTTAATATTGGAAAATGCACCCAACTTGCTTGCTGTGAACACAAACAGTGCTGCTGTGGACTTTCTGTATCTCCTGATGGCACCTGGGAAAAGGTTTTCTAAGATCTGTATCAAGAGATAAATTGTGGGATAGCACCAAGTGTATCATTAATTTTATGCCAACCTGTTTTCCAAAGATAGTTGTTAGGTCACGGAGCCCAACATCTTCACCTATATTTTCCATTTTCTTCGGGGTCTTGGCTATTCTAGGTCCTTTGCCATTATATACACATTTTATGAAAGTTAAGCTTTTTTTTTTTTCCACAAACAGCGGTAAGAAATGAGACAGATCCTGTGTGTCTTGATCCAGTTTCCCCAGTGGTAACATCTTGCGAAGCCCACAAGCAGGTACTGACATTCAGGCAGCCCAGGTAGAGAGCACGTCCATCCCCACAAAGATCCTGCGTGTTCCCCTTTGACAGCCACCCCACCATCCCCCCCACCTTCCTGAGCACTGGCAATCATGGATCTGCTCTTCAGTTCAGCACATTTGTCATTTCAAGAATCTTACGTAAGAGGAATTACCCTGTGCGTAACCTTTGGCGGTGAGCTTTTTCACTCATCCTGATTTGATGAAGATTGACCCAGGTGAGAGTTTGCATCAGTAGTTAGTTCACTCTCAAGCATTACCAAGCCCTGAGTGTTCCACATAGTACAGGTGAGCCACATATTGTTCAGCCATGCACCTGTTGAAGAGAGAGCATCTAGGTTCCTTCCAGTCTGGAGCCGTTAGAAATTAAGCTTCAATCAGCATTCACGTCCAGGTTTTTGTGTGAAACTAAATTGCTACTTCTCTAGGATAAATGCCCAGGGATGCAATTGCTGGCTCATGGACGTGTTTGTTTTTTAAAGGACCTGCTACACCACCCTCCATGCTCCCTCCAGCAAGGTGTGACCAGAGTCTCAGGTTGTCACTATTTTTGATGCAATCCTGAGAGGTATACAGTGCTATACCTTTATGGGTTTTATCTGCATTTCTCTCATGGCCAATGACATTTTTATAGGCTTATTTGCCCTCCACAAACCTCTTGGTGACATGGCTGTGTCTTTGGTCCATTTTTTATTTGGATTGTTTGGGATGTTTTACTGTTAAGTTTTGAGAGTTCTCTATATGAGTCCTTTGTCAGAAATGTGGTTTGCAAAATACATATTTTCTCCCACTGTGCAAACTTGCCTTTTCATCCTCTTAATAAGACTTTTTGCAGAGTAAAATTTAAATTTAAAAAAAAATTTAGGGGCTGGCACTGTGGCATAGTGGGTAAAGCTGCTACCTGCAGTGTTGGCATCCCATATTGGGTACCAGTTCGAGTTCTAGCTGCTCCACTTCTGATCCAGCTCCCTGCTAATGTGCCTGGAA